GGGCATGACCCTGTCATGAGTTAAGATATAGCTGTACTCAGAAGTCTATCAATGCAACATGGGGAAAAAAGAACTCTGATTGACAGTAAAGTGCAATTTTGGTAGTAGATGGAATTTGATGTTTTTAAAGGGAAGGGTCAGGGACAGAGAGATTGATGGGTATGGTGTTACCAATAGAGAGGGGGTAGAGAATAATAAGGATTGGAACAATGGATAAATACAGGACATCAGAATTTTCCAAATGGCGTGCAGAAATTACACTAACGCTGCATGAATCCATCTTGTTAGCGGGAACTTGTTTGCAAATTTACTGAAAGTTACTAATATACCCCGGTGCATAAGAAACTGTGAAACTGGAAACCAAATACTTGAATCTACAAAATAGACCATTCAGCCCCTCAGGACTGCTCCACCATTCAATGAGGTGATGGCTGATCTGTTTGTGTTTGAATTCTGTGCTCTCCCACCCCAAACCCAGGAAGCTACCTGTGTCTTAAAAATATTCAACTGCCTCCTGAGGCAGAGAGTTCCAAAGTTGTACAACCATCGAAGACAAAAAAATCCTCCTCATTTCTGTCCTAAAAGAGTGACCCCTAATTTTAAAACAGTGCCCCTTATTTCTGGACTCACCCGCAAGAGGAAATCTCCTTTCCCTGTCCATGTTTTCAAGACCATTTAGGATCTGATACACTTCAATCAAATCACCCCCCCGTCACTCTTCTAAACTCCAGTGGAAACAAGACCAAGCTAGACTCATAAGTATTAAGCCTATCTCATCTTTGAAGCCCTCACCTCATCATATATGCACAATAAGCACTGCATGCTTAATACAGTGAAATAGTGGAAGCTTGTCACTTTTCAATGTGACAGATTCCGATGTCACATCAAAAAATGATTAGAGATAGATGATATAGCACAGGGCTCAGGACAGAGAAATAAATGAATTAGCAAACACAATTGCTATGAAGCAATGGAAGAGGGCCTGTCCTACCTAAAGACCTGGGCTCCATATGAATGCAGAATGCAAGAGTTGGATTGGTATGGGGTGGGGTGATCTAGAATAGCCAAAAGAGATCTCAGTGGAAATGATCCAGATTTTTCCTATGCAGTTGAAGAAAAAAAAATTGCACTCTTACACTACAATTGCACTGAAACCTTCCAAGGTATTCCAGGCCTGGGAGTCACAAAGATTGAGTTGGGAGACATGACTGCAGCGGAGAAATAGGGTATGACAGGGATTAAAGCACAGAGATGGAATGATATATATGTTTCCATTGTAAATTTGTTGTTAGAAGTTCTGAGGGCTATTGACTGGGTGGCTGTGGAAAGGATGTTTCCCCCTGTGGGAAAATCTCAAACTAAGGGTCTCCCTTTCAAAATAAGTGATTGCCCATTTAAAGCAGAGATGAGGAGAAATCATTTTCCTCCAAAGATTCATGACTCTTTTGAACCATCTTCCTCAAGAGTCAGTGGTAGCTGAGTCATAAGAATGTAAGAACTTGAAGTTAGAGTAGGCTACTCAGCCCCTTGAGCCTCCTTCACTGTTTAATGCATTCATGGCTGATCTCTTATGGCCCCCATTGCACTTTCCTGCCTACTCCAAATACTCTTTCAACCCATTACTAATTAAAAAGCTGTCTATCTCCTCCTATAGTTTATTCAGTATCCTGGTGTCTACTGCATTCTGGAGGGGTAGTGAATGCCACAGATTGTTGACCTGTTGAGAAAAATAATTCCTCTTCATCTGTGTTTTAAATCTGTAGTATCAAATAAAGAGTAGTAATCTAAAAGGTGTGCAGGATCCTGGATGTATAATTACATAATTCATTAAATGTGGAGACAGCAGTTAATGAAGAATATGGTATCGTTGGTGAATACAGTACCAGAGCAAGGAGGTTATGCTGAACCAGCATAAGACACTCAATAGACCTCATTTGGAGTATTGTCTACAGTCCTGGGCTCCATATTTCAGGGAGAATAGTGGAGAATGAGGTTTACAAGAATGGTTCCGGAGATAAGACACTTCAATTATGATAGGCACAGTGGCTCAGTGGTTAGCACTGCTGCTTCATAGTACCAGGGATCCAGGTTCAATTCCACTCTCAGGCAACTGTCTGCATGTTCTCCCCATGTCTGCGCGGGTTTCCTCCGGGTGCTCTGGTTTCCTCCCACAGTCCAAAGGTGTGCAGGTTAGATGGTTTGGCCATGCTAAATTGCTGGTAGTGTCGAAGGATGTACAGGCCAGGTGAGTTAGCCATGGGAAATACGGAGTTAAAGTTGAGGGCTGTATGGGGTGCTCTTCAGAGGGTCCTGCAGAGTCGATGGGCTGAATGGCCTCTTTCTGGACTGAAGAAGGCTAAGAGGAGATTTGATAGAGGTTTTCAAAATCACAAGTGTCTAGACAGATTGGATAAGGAGAAACAGTTCCCACTCACTAAATGAACAAGAATTGGAGGGGGCTGGGGGAGCACAAATTTAAAGTAAAATCTGAAAGAACTGCGGATGCTGGAAATTAGAAACAAAAACAGTAATTGCTGGAAAAGCTCAGCAGGTCTGGCAGCATCTGTGGAGAGAAATCAGAGTTAACCTTTCAGGCCCAATGACCCTTCCTTAGAACTGAGGAAGTGTCAGAACAGTTCCGAGGAAGGGTCACTAGACCTGAAAGGTTAACTCTGATTTCTCTCCACAGATGCTGCCAGACCTGCTGAGCTTTTCCAGCAATTACTGTTTTTGTTACAGATTTAAAACAATCCACAGAAGCTGTTGCAATAAGAGCGAAAACTTGATACAGCAAATACTCCGAGTCTAGAAGGCACAACCTAGACATGTAGTGAAGACAACTTTAGTTGAGACGTTCAAGAGGGAAGTATCTGATTATTTGCTCAGAAACAATGTGCTGGGTTATGTGGGTGAGGGGTGAAGCCCAAGAATGGCTCGAAGTAATATAGCTCAATCAGAGAGCTTATGCTTACTCAATGCACCAAATGGCCTCCTGCATGATAATTCTTTAACCTGATGAAAGATTCTTGATAAATAACAGGGTAAAAGGTTATCTGAGTTGCCTGAATGAAGACTAATCAATTCAATTACGATCTTATTGAATGGCAGAGCAAGCTCAAGTGGTTGAGGAACCTACTTCTCCTTTTAGAGTAGGATAACAGGGTCGGCACAACATCATGGGCCGAAGGGCCTGTACTGTTCTATGTTCTACTCCTGCTCCTCATCCATCTGTTCATATGTTAACATTATCACACTGGAATCTTCCTATGTAAACCCGGCACAACCCGCTTGTATTTATGTGACATCTTTAGTGTAGTAAAAGTATTTAAGGAGCAGAATTTTGCACTGTGAGTTATGTGAAAAATTTCCAAAAGCTTGATCAAAGAAGAAGGCTTTAAGGAGTACCTTAAAGGAGATATAGGAATGCAGAGAATTTTTTTGGAGGAATTCCAGCGTTTAGAGCCTAAGGCGGTGGAGAGATTAAAAGAGACCAGAGTTGGATAAACGTGGATATCTTGGAAGATTATAACCTGGAGGAGGTTACATAGAGACAGAAGGTGTGAAGCCTTGGAGAGATTTGAAAACAAAGATGAGAATTTTAAACTTTCATTGTTACTCATGTCAACCCCGTGTGGGGCCAGTAAGCACGGAAGTGATGGAGGAATGGGCCTGGAGAGTTTTTAATGAGCTTAAGTTTATGGATGGGTGTCTGCTCAGTCAAATCTAGGGGTGGCAAAGGCTTGAATGGGGCCTGCTGTAATTACATCTTCCCACCAAGCTGTGCTTTAACTGTGCATCTCCCAATTGTGTTCCTAACAACTTCCAAGTTGCCCTAATTAACCATAAATAGTAATATCAAATCAAAGTATATTAGAAAAATAAGAACAAAATGTTTGACTTTAAAATGGCTAAACTCATGATCTGATTATCCATCTGATGTTTTAAATGTAATTTATCTGAAGGCTATAACTATGTAAATGCCATGGAAGATTGATCAAAATGGACATTAAAGCTCATGGTCACATAAAAGATAAGTTTTGATGTATATTTTTGGAGCATTCTTTATGATCGAAGCTCACACCACAGTGCTCTATAGCTAGTGAAGCAGCTCAGAAGTCTTTCACTGTAACAAAGAAAACAGCTCATTCACGCACAGCAAGATTCCATCAACAGCAATGTCCAGATGATTTTTTTTTTGTGATGTTGATTGAGGGATAAATATTCTTCGATGTCATAATTTCCTCTGAGCCTTATTTTGTCCAAACTGGAGAGGGCACTGACTTATTGGTATAATTTCACATGCCTTTAATAGTTGCCTTTTGCATTGGTAGCTATTTCTAAACTGGAAGAGGTGTGGTGGTAGTGTCTCTGCTCTGGGCTAGATGCCTTGGGTTCAAGCATTATCGCAGGCCTGGACGTTTCCTAAAGGTGAACCATAACATGGTCAAACAGTTTGAATATCAATCTGTAAATCTTTCTAATACATCTCTGAGACGTGGGACTAGGGTAGCACGGTGGCCGAATGGTTAGTACTTCTGCCTCACAGCGCCAGGCACCCAGGTCCGATTCCAGCCTCAGGTGACTGTGTGGAGTTTGCGCATTTTCCCGTGTCTGCGTGGGTTTCTTGGTTCCTCCCACAGTCCAAAGATGTGTAGGTTAGGGTGGATTGACCATGCTAAATTGCCCCAGGGATGTGCTGGCTGGGTGGATTAGCCAGGGGAACTGCAGAGTTACAGGGATAGGGTAGGGGCGTGGGTGTGGGTGGGATGCTGTTTGGAGGGTCATTGTGGACTCGATGGGCTGAATGGCCTGCTTCTACACTGTAGGGGGTCTGTGATTCTTAAAGAGTGTGGTGCAGTGTTCACAACCTCGCCATGTAAAAAGCTGCAGCTGTATCTGAGCCAGTGTGATGACCAAACTTCTGAGTTCTTTCAGGTTGAACCGATAAGATACGGCAGTCAAAACCCTATGATGAGAGGTTTACTCTGTTTCTCTTTAAGGCAAATGATTACTTGAAAAGCCTCAATAAAAAGACTGCCCTGCAAGATCTTTCTAAGGTATCCACAGCAAAGACTTTCCTGGCTTTTGTTCAGCTAATGAGAGAGGCAAAGAAGATTGAAATTCTGAACTTGCTGAAGAAAGCAGGAGACACTGAGATGTGAGTTAATGTTCACCGTTATAAATGAACACGCACTTAGACATCACTTGGCAGTTTGACAGGAGGGAGGTGGTGGTACAGTGTTGGTAGCACTAGATGAGTAACGCTGAGGCTAATGCTGGGAAAATGTGTTCAAATCCCACCACTGTAGTACAGGAGTTTAAATTCTTTAAAATTCTTCAAATTTTTAAATTCTTTAATACTTTTTAAAAAATTTTCTGAAATATAATTCTAGTCTTAATAGTGATCATGAAACTATCACGAGATTTATAAAAACACGTCTGACTCATTAATCCCCTGCATGAAGGAAATCTGTTGTCTTTACATGATCTGGCTAACACGTGACTCCAGGCCAACAGCAATGTGATGATCCTTCGAATCATAGAATCCCCACAATGTGGAAGCTGGCGATTCGGCCCATTTTGAGTCAATACCAATCCTCTGAATGGTATCCCACCCAGACCCAGCCCCCTACCTTATCTTTTCCATGGCTAACGCACCTAGCCTGCACATCCCTGCACACTACGGGCAATTTAGCATGGCCAATCAACCTAATCTGTACATCTTTGGACTACGGGAGGAAACCAGAGCACCCGGAGGAAACCAACGCAGACACGGGGAGAATTTGCAAACTCCACACAGTCACTCGAGGCTGAAATTGAACCCAGGTCCCTGGCGCTGTGAGGCAGCAGTGAGGCCCCGTGCCCCTCATAACTTCTAACTGCCCTCAGATATGGCTCAGTAAACCACTCAGTTCAGGGGCAGTTAGGGATGGATAATAAACGCTGGGCTGGCCATTGACACCCACATCCCAGGATGAAATAAGGAAAAGGTGATAATAAAAACAAAATCGTAGAGACACTGCAGAAAGATCAGTGGCAACTGGGTGATAATCTTTCAGTCCCTTGAATGAAGCATGTTACTGCAGAGGCTGTAAACCCTCAAATGCAGGGGGTACACAAGAGGCCAAGCAGCAATCTGTACAGAGAGAAACACAAACATTCATGATTGATGACCTTGCATCAGAACCGGAAGATTCTAGATTTTAAGGGACCTAGGATCAGAATAGAGCAAAGAGATAGTCTCAGGTGGGAGAGAGGAGCGATCGGATAACAAATAACAAATAATCTTCCAAGATATCCATATCTATGGCATTGATATGGGGAAATTTATGGATACAATATAAGGGGAGGTGATGGCCTAGTGGTATTATCGCTGGACTATTAATCCAGAGACCCAGGAAATATTTTGGGGACATGAGTTCAAATCCTGTCATGGCCATGAACGGACCCAACCCAAAACGTCAACTTTCTTACTCCATTGATGCTGCCTGGCCTGCTGTGTTCCTCCAGCTCCACACTGTGTTATCTATGGCAGATGGTGGAATCTGAATTCAATAAAAATCTGGAATTAAGAGTCTAATAATGACCATGAATCCATTGTTGATTCTCTTTTAGGGAAGGAAACTGCCATTCTTAAGTGGTCTGTACTAAATGTGATTGACTCTTACAATGTGATTGTACCATCCAGGATGGGCAATAAATGCTAGCCTACCCAGTGATGCCCTCATCCCATGAATGAATGTTTAAAAAAAAGATTGCAGCTTGAAAAAGGAAGTTTGGATGCTCATGAACAGTGAGGAAGCTAAACATCTTCTCTTTTGGTTTTGACCAGGTTTGGGGGAGAAATGGCCTAGTCAGTGCTCACAGCAACACGGTAATCTTAAGTCACAAAGATTTCATGGCTGTGTTTTATCTGACAAAGTGGTTGTGTTGTTTGGAGTTTGTTGACCGATGTAACAAAGTCTCCTTGGACGCCTTTATCCAGTCAGACCTCCTGTCACTGCTGCAGATCATTAACTATCCTCTGCTGCTAATTGATTCTGAATCACGGGCTGCACAGGAAATGCGCTTTCTCAACAACTTCCACTGTTGATGTAACAATTTACACCATTCTTATGACTGAAAGATCGCCAAAACTATAAAAACAGGGAACATGTTTCTTCAGATATTTTAAATAAAAGTCAACAAAGTAAGTGTCAGTCTGAGAAAAGAATAAGCCTGGGGAGTTGGTTACACAGGATAAAGAGATGGCAAACAAATTGAACAGATATTTCACATTGGTCTTCTCTAGAGAGGATAGATATAGCATCCCTGAAATAGCTGTAAATCAGGAATTGAAAGGGTGGGAGGAATTCAAGGAAATAATAATTGCCGTGGTGTAGTGATTGTAACGAGGTCAGCCAGCTGGACGTCATAGGATGCATCTCAGCGTAATATGGCAACTGCTCTTCCCAAGATCGCAAGGAACTACAGAGAATCATGAACACTGCCCAGTCCATCATGCAAACCAGGCTTCCATCCATTGACTCCATCTACACTTCCTGCTCACTTGGGAAAACAACCAACATAATCAAAGAACCCTTCCAACCCTGGTTATACTCTCTTCCCCCCTTTTCTGTCAGGCAGAAGATATAAAAGTTTGTATACAGGTACAAACAGATTCAAGAACAGCTTGTTCCCTGCTGTTATTAGACTTCCGAATGGACCTGTCAAATTTCAAATTTAATGTTGATCTCGCTCTTTGTGCACCTTCTCTGCAGCCATAACATTGTATTCCTTGCTCTGTTCTATTACCCTAATGCACTTTGTATGGTATGATCTGCCTGTACTGCACACAAAGCAAAACTTTTCACTGTATCTAGGTACACGTGACAATAATAAATCAAATCAAATTAATCAATCAAATCAAAAATATGAGTTCCCTGATTGGGGCAGTTAATCTGGTCCAGTTAGGGAGCCCTGACTGACATTGGGTGATTGTCAGAGATACTGACCCTCTGGTGCCTGACTCTGAATAAGGCAGTACTGTAGTCAAGGACTGTTCATGTATAACTTAGGGATAACTTGGTGACAGGATACCGACCTCTATGGAATTATTTCACAAGGCAAGTAATACTAAATAAATTGATGGGAGTCCACAGAGCCTGATAGATTTCATCCTAGGGTCTTAAAAGAAGTAGCTAGCGAAATAGTTGATGCATTGGTTTTAATTTTCCAAAGTCATTAGATTCAGGGAAGGTTCCTTTAGATTGGAAGATAGCTAATGTAACTCCTTTATTTAAAAAGGGAGGGAGGCAGAAAGCAGGAAACTACAGGCCAATTATTTTAACATCAATCATAGAGAAAATGTTAGCAGCTATTATTAAAGACGTCATAATAGGACATTTGGATCAGTTCAAGGTAATCAGGCACAGTAGATATGGTTTTGTCAAAGGGATATCATGTTAACTAATTTATTGGAATTCTTTGAAGAAGTAACTTGTGCTAGAAATAAAAGGGAATCAGTAGTGTATTGTGTTTAGATTTCCCAAGGCATTTGATAAGATGCCACATCAAAGGTAACTGTGGAAAATGAAAGCTCATGGTGTAAGTGTAACATATTGGCACAAATAAAAGATTGTTTCACTACAGGAAGCAGAGTAAGAATATGTGGGTCTTTTTCAGCCTGGCAGGATGTCACGAGTGGTGTGCACAGGGCTCAGGTTGGGGCCTCAACTCTTTACAGATTATACAAACGATTTGGATGAGGGGATCGAAGGTATGGTAGCTAAATTTGATAATGCAAAGGCAGGTAGGAAAGTGGGTTGTGAAGTAGACCTTAGGAACCTACAAAGGGATATAGATAGATTAAGTGAGTGGGTAAAGATCTGGCAAATGGAATACAAGTGGGAAAGTGTGAAATTGTCTATCTTGGCAGAAAGGATTAAAAAAAGGCATAATATCTGAACAGTAAGAGAATACAGAGAGATCTGGGTGTTCTAGTGCATGTATCACAGAAGCTTTGTATGCAGGTACAGCAACTAATCAGGAAAGCTAATAGAACGTTATGGTTTCTTGCTAGGGGAATTGAATGCAAGGGTAGGGAGATTATGCTTCAGTTATACGGAGCATTTGTGAGAGTGCATTTTGAGTACTGTGTACAGTATTGGTCACTGTACTTACAAAAGGATGTTAATACATTGGAAGTTGTTCAGAGAGGGTTCACTAGACTAATACCTGGAATGGGCAGATTGCCTTATGAGGAAAGGTTAGAGAGGCTGGGCCTGAATCCTCTGAAGTTTAGAAAAGTTCGAAGTGACCTAGTGGAAACATAAGATCCTGAGGGGACTTGATTGGGTGGATGTTGAAAGCATGTTTTCTCTTGTGGGAGAATTTAGAACAAGGGGTCATTGTTTAAAAATAAGGAGGTGACTGTTTAAGACAGAGATGAGGAAATTATTTTTTTCTCTCAGAGGGTTAAGTGTCTTTAGAGCCCCCCTCCCTCGAAAGGCAACAAATGCAGAATCTTTAAATTCTGAGGAAGGGCCACTCGACCTGAAACGCTAGCTCTGATTTCTCTCCACTGATGCTGCCAGACCTGCTGAGCTTTTCCTGCAGTTTCTGTTTTTGTTTCAGAGTCTTTAAATATTTGAAGGCAGAGGTAGACAGATTCTTAAGGGCTGAGAGGATGAAAGATTATCGGGGAAATGCAGGAATGTAGAGTTGTGGTTAAAGTCAGATCAGCCAAGATCTTACTGAAAGGTAGTGCAAGCTCGAAGGGCTGAATGGCCTACTCTTGTTCCTTGTTTGTCTTTTTGTAAACATGCTGGGTTCAGTTCTTTCTCAATACATCTCTTTTGGAAATGACTTCTGAATAATTTGCAGGTTCACTAATAAATCGTAGTCCTGTTGAGACTGGGGATCATACTGAATGGTTCTAACTGGTTGTGTCTCATTCTAGCTTCTTCCTGATAGACTCAGCTACAGCAGCACAAACAGAGGCATCACTGAGTGCCGTTTCTGAATACCTGGATTTCACCAAGGATGCCCAGATTCCTCAATTGCGGACATTCTTGTACGCCAGTGCCTTCACTTCACACCCCTCCAAACAGCTTTTACACATCTTGCTGGTATGTATGAGTTATGCAGCACAATGCTTATTTTTTTAAAATGTCAATATTCGACATATTATGACACACCTCTATGACTGTCGCATCCTGAGGTGGGACTTGAACTGAGCCATTGGGTCATTACCACTGCGCCACATTCAAAATGTTTCCAGATTGTCGCTGGACTGTTAATCCAGAGAGCCAGGTAATAATCTGGGGACCTGGGTTCGAATCCCACCACAGCAGATGTTGGAATTTGAATTCAATGAAAATATCTGGAGTTAAGAGTCTAATGATGACCGTGAACCCATTGCCAACTGTCAGAAAAACCCATCCACTTCACTAATGTCCTTTAGGGAAGGAAACTGCCATCCTTACCTGGTTTGGCCTGTATGTGACTCCAGTCACACAGCAATGTGGTTGACTCTGAACTGCACTCTGGGCAATTAGGAATGGGCAACAAATGCTGCCCTAGCCAGCGACATCCCTTATCCCGTTAATAAATAAAGAAGGATCAGTCAATGCTGGCACAATGCTACTTCTTAGATGGTACTTAGATAGTGAGCCTGAGCACAAGATGGCTGACTTTGCCTAATGATACGAGATTGGTGTATTTTAATAATTTTCCATCTCCAAGGACCCACCAGGTTGTCTGGGGATGCCAGCAGCCAACAGGTGACTGCTTTCTTGCTGGTAAAGACCCAACAGCTTTTCCTGAACAATGTCTGAAGAAGATTTCATTAATTATAGTGGAGTGCACCCTCTGTCCCTGTACAGTAAAGTATTCACGATTCAAAAACAGGCCATTCAGCCCTAAGATTCCATTCCAGAACTTGTACAGCACACAAAGTCCACCCACCTCTCTTCATCTGACCTAATCAGCGTACCCTTCTGTCCCTTTCACCCACATATGCTTATCTAACAGCACTTTATATGGATTTTTAAAAAATTCATTCATGGGATGTGATTGTTATTCCACATCCCTAATTGCCCCTGAGAAGATTGTTGTAAGCTGCCTTCTTAAACTGGTTCATTTCATTATTTTCCTCCATTACACCTAAATGCAAGTTCCACGTTCTAACAATCTTTGGATAAAATAGATTTCCTGGAATCTTTATTGAATTTATTAGTGACAATCTTAAATTGATACAAGTGGAAACATCTTCTCTAGTTATTTTGTATGGTAACTTATAAATTGAAATATTCCCAATGGATGATTTGCCAACAGGATGACAGTGATATTTCTTTTTGGCTAGTCTCATTGTGATATATTCAAAGCCGTTGGGCTCCATGTTTTATAAAACAGCAATGGAATATTATTGGCCCCACTATTTGTTTTAGAAGTAGACCAATAATATAAGTTGCCATAGTCCTGGCGGGCCTTAGGAATGTTCATTCAAAAGAGATGACTAGTGATGGTTTAACCTGAGGGTCATTACACCTCAGATGAGGGGAAGGGTTGAGAAGGAAAATCCTTCATGGTACTCTCAGCCATCGCAGGAATTGAACCCACACTGTTGGCATCACTCTGCATTGCAAACCAGCTACCCAAGCTAATGGACCCCTGACCAGTAACGTACAATGAATTTAATGGAAATATAAAGAAATCCTTGCATTTACCCTATAGAACTTTACACAACATAAGGACTGATCAGAGTGCTTCACAACAAATGAAAATATTTCTGAAGTGTGCTGACTGTTGTAATCATGTTGATATTTTATTATTTGGGGACTGGAGATCTAAAGTAGAGGTTTGTGGTTTTTCATTTTCTCATTCTGTGTAAATGGCTTTTTTAAAAGATCAAAAACTCTTTTTAGCGTTGAATCAAAGCAGCATTTCCAATAAATAACGTTCCTTCAGCTAAATGACAAGACAAGCTACCTGATTGGATGATGGCTAAACAGAGCTTTTTTAACCCACAGACTGGCTTGTATCAGCTGCTGGGTTAATCCCTGAGGCACACATAGAGGCACTAAAGTCGTCCTTAATTGGCCACAGATAGATAGAAATAGGTTGAGTGAGCGGGCACAAATATAGTAGATGAAGTACAACGTAGAAAAATACAAAAGTGTTGACTTTGGCAGGAAGAATAACAAGGCAGCATATAATTTGAACGTAGAGTGAGCACAGAATTCTGAAGATGTGGAGGATCCAGGTGTTGTTCATGTAGAAAGTGATGGAGAGGGTGAATGGAATTCTCTGCTTTGTTGAGGCCACGTCTCAAATACAATGCAGTTTTGGTCTCCTCCTTTAAGGCAGGATGTAAAAGTATTGGAAGCATTTCAGAGGTTTACTGGGATGATATCTGGACTGAGTGGGTTGGCTTATGAGGAAAGGTTATGCATGCTGGGCATAGAAGGATGAGGAGGTGACATGGTTGAAGTGTGTATGATGCCAAATGGTGTTGACAAGGGGAAAGGACATGGAAAGGATGTTTCCTCCTGTGGGAGAGTCCAGAGCTAGAGACCACTGTTCTAAAATTAGTTATAACCACTTAGGAGAGATAAGAAGATTCTTTTCTCTCTCAGAGGGTTGTATGACTTTGGAACTCTCTTCTTCAGAAGGATATTTTTAAGGCAGGGGTGGATAGATATTCGTTAGGCAGGGGAATTGAGGGTAGATGGGATATTTTGAAACATTGACAAATGTTATGATGTCATTGATTGGCGGACCAGGTTCGAGGGACCGTATGGTCTACTTTTTGCTCTTAAGTTCTATGTTCATTTGTCAAGGGCCTCAATAGGTGGCCAATCAGGAAGATCGTCAATGGGTCTTAGTAGAGTCGTACAGAATGGAAAAGGCCCCTTTGGTCCAAATAGTCCACGTATGCCTCCAAACCTTTCCTGGTCATGTACTTAGCCTATCCAGAATACAATCTTCTGGGGGTGTGGACACAGCACCATCACACCAGTTAAGTGTCCTTTCCAACCAAAACTTGCCACCTCCTGGAGAAGAAGATTCCACCTAATAGCTCTGTCATGAAAACCATGCAGTTCATCAACTCCTGTAACGGATGGAAGATTAGCTTTCAATTTAAATAGACTCCAGTGTTGGGGCAAGTCCAAGAGCTTGCCATGAATTTGCTGAAGTTTGGATTCCAGTAAATGATGACAGAATGATCAAAACCTTTCAGAAATCTTGAGTTATCTCTCAAGAGAAATTGACTGAAAGTAATTGGTGAAGAAAGGTGAATGATGTGTAGTTCGTCAGTAAGTCAGAAAAATTCAGAGTTAATGTTTCGGGTCCTCAGAAGGGTCTCCGGACCCGAAACGTTAACTCTGATCTTTTTCTTCACAGGTGCTGCCAGACCTGCTGAGCTTTTCTAGCTACTTCCAGCTACTTTACAGCATCTGCAGTTCTTTCGGTTGTTATTTAATCAGCGTGAGGAACATTAATCTGATCGGTGCACTTCCCTTACAGGCTAAGCTTCAGGACAAGATACCAAGCAGAGAAATCCAAGAGACAATTGTCTTGGTGATTGGAGCAGTGATTGGCAAGATGTGCCAGCAGAACCTGTGCAAACTCCAGGTTAGTAGTTCCAGTACTGTTGACCAGTTGCTGATGGGTAGATTTATAATTCACAATCAAGCTTCGTTCCACCTAGTAGATGTAAAAAATAAATTAGTCGAAAGAAAGACTAGCATTTCATAGAATCCTGACTGTGCAGAAAGAGGCCATTCAGCCCATCAAATAACACTAATCCTACAAAGAGCATCCCATCCAGACCCATTACCCCGTATTTACCATGGTTAAACCCACCGAGCCTACACAATTTAGCATGGTCAGTCCACCTAACCTGCACATCTTTGGACTGTGGGAGGGAACCAGAGCACCAGGAGGAAACCCATGCAGACACGGGGAGAATGTGCAAACTCCACATCGACAGTCACCCAAGGCTGGAACTGAACCTGGGTCCCTGGTGCTGTGAGGCAGCAGTGCTAACTAACCACTGCGCCATCTTTATATCATAACTTTTATGATCCAGGGCTCTCTACAGCCAATGACATACTTTGAGAGCTGTAGTAAACACAGCAGCTAACATCTGCACAGCAAGATCCCACAAGGACAATGCGATAATAACTAGATCATCTGCTTTGAGTGACATTGAGGAACAAATGTTGGCCGAACTGAGAGAATTGCTAAAATTATTTGCCCAGTGCAGTTGAGGTTTCAGGTTGAGGACCGTTCTGAATCATTATGGTGCTGAGCAGAAACTGACTTGGATGCACAAATTGAAAAATATTGGGGCAGACTCCCTGATGCAGAGACAGTTGTGACTCCAGTGTAGATGGGAGCTGTGCATGGGGACCCTGCGGAATCCTCATCATAGCACACTCCGAAGGAATTGTCCAGGAAATTGAAAATTCAGCTCATCAATTCCCCTCGGAATTCTCCAAAAGTATCCATTTAAATCGGAGAATTCAGAGAATCCCATTGAATTTAAGTAATAGTTATTCGGGAAGTTAACTGTCTTAAATACTTAATCTAGCTCCTGAGTAACTACTTAATTGACCCCACAACTTACCTCACACATTACCTTGCCCAACCCCAAGACCCTAACCCAACACCCGCCTCCCTCACCCTGAGCCAATACCATCCTTCTGCTCCGGGCCATGATAGCCCCTTCGTGCCCCCTTCAACATCCCAGAACCTGACAAAACCCACCACCAGACACAATGCAACTGTCACCCTGGGACTCAGTACCTCCTGTTTCACTGCCACCTCTCTCATTCTGGGACCCAACACCACTCCACTAAACTCTGGGCCTGACACCCTGGCCCTTCTACGACCAGAGCAGATCCCCTTCCCTCTGACGCAACCCCCCTCCCTGACACACTAGACACTATCCCCACGCTCCTACCTCCCAGGACCCAATTCCATTGCTGGAACCCATCCCCCCTCACCCCCACGATCACCTCCCAGGACCCAATCCGCTGGACCCCATCCTCCCCACCCCCCACCATCACCTCTCAGGACCCAATTCCACCTCTGGATGCCATCACCCATCCACTCCCACCTCCCCCCACCATCACCTCCTAGGATCCAATCCCAGCACTAGACTCAAACGCTACCCACCATCAGCTCCCAGGACCCAATCCCACCACTAGACCCAAACCCCATCCAC